TGAAAAATTATGCAGAAGTATTTTAAGGGGGGTTTTTTTTCCCGAACACAAGTATTTTAGAAGCACACAGGATTTCGTGAAGTCATCGAAAACTTTCCTCATATGAGTCGTTCACCCACCTCTGGTTAAGAAGTTAATATCGAAAAGGTTACAGACTCAGTGCTTGAAAATCGTCGTGTTGGTATCAGCAATATAGCAGTGGAACCCAATAACTGCTGTGGTTTATGTTTCGTGTAGGAATGACTCGTACCAAAAGTTCTGCATCTTTTGCAAAAGCGATGAAAGTCGAGTAGAGGTCACAATAGAGGTGTTAACAACATAACTGAGGTCCCTACTTACAACAAACGCACCATTACTGATGACGAGATGTGGGCTTATGAATATGACGTCGAAACTGTTCAGCAATCTAGTGAATGACGCTCCAAAAATTTGCCGAAATCGAAAAATCCAAAGTGAAAGCATGAAATGATGAAAATCATGGATCAGAGATTGTAGTTTTTTTGTCAGCCCGGTCAAATTTGATCATATGATATTATTCTTATAGCGACAAACAGTTCTTCACTTAATGCTGAGCGACTTAAAGCACGGTCATGCTTATAAAACTGTGTAGTTTCGTTTGCATAGACCTAAATGTTTTAATCTAAACTTAACTCTAGAGAAATCTTTAGAAGTATGGGTAATGCCGGAGAAATTTGAACATAAGAATTCAAAAAAGTTTAGACTTGAAAAGAACCTCAAAAAATATAGAATTTGCTCTTTATACCATTACTATGGATTAATTTTATAAATTCGAATACTTATGTAATAAATAGCTATTATAACGAATCAAATCGAAATCGGTAATATGCAAGAAACGAGTTTTGTGTTGGAAGATATGACATGTAATGTCCAAATGTAAGGGCCATTGATATAATGGTCTTTGAAGCGAATCTCATCTTGCGTTATTTAGCGTGAGAATCCTCGCATAAGCTTAAGATAGAGTGGTGGTTAAAACATTTTTAAGAAAATTTTTAAATTTCTACTCAAATAAACGCAAGTTTGCATTGTTTGCAGAACCTCTTATTAATTTTTTAAGCAACCAATGCACCAGGGTTGTATCACTATAAGCACAAAAAGTGGTGTCTAGTGTGTGCAGGAATACAGTTTTATGCATGTTAAGCTTCGTGTTTCTAATCACAAACTTTAGTTTTTTATTGTAAAGGATGACCGTTTTTATAAAACAGTTAATGAAGAGACAACTTAGCCTAAACTTATATATCATACTAACAATTTAATGTTATAAGGTTATATCTGTTCGTAAAATGTAATTAGACTGAACATATAATATTAAAACAAATAAAAATGGTAGCTTTTTCTTTCTAAAATTAAGTTCGCGCTGAAATGTAGGCAACATTTTCAAATTACGAGTCTATTTGGCAAGAAAGAAAATTGAACAAATATACGTAGTTTGTATGTACATTTATACTACTGTCAGCCTTGTTTTATTTAATTAACATATTTTCCTTTAAACCTAATATATTCTGTTTCGGTATCAATAAGCAGGGTCTTAAGCCTTGCTTTTCGGAAGTTTATAGTTTGTTGTCTTTAGTTGTCTGCCTCAATCTAAGAACAATTTCTAGAATATGAATTTTTTATGCAGAAAAATATTTTAGTCTAGTATCAATCTTTCCATTAGCATTGGAAATTGAAAACCTGCGTAGCAGCTTCTGTGAGGTTTGTCTTATCTGATTACGTGGTATTTTGTAGTAGTAAAAAAAACGCGGTTTTTGAACGAACTTTTGATCTAAGCTTCACCCCAAAATGTAGGCAACAATTTTGATTTAAATATAAAATATAGCCAAATTATTAAATTATTTATTGTCTTATTACTTTTGAAATTATTTTAAATATCAAAGGGCACACGTATTTCTACCTGATCATTGGTAGGTCTTTGTGTGGAGAATTATGTACAGTAGAAATTGGTTACTGATTCGACCATTTGTCTCCGAGTAATCACTGCAGCAAATACGAAAAATGTTTTTCCGAAAAAATTGATTTTGAACATGAACAGATGGAGCTGATTGAACAGAGAAGCCTGTAACTCAAAAATACTATCAGATATCGATTTAAAAGTTTAGTATGTTATTTTTAAAGATATAACTTATCGATATATGATAAAAAGTTCGATTATTTGAAATTTCATACTAGTTGTGCTCCTCAATACATTACCTAAAATAAAGTTAAGTACAGAAAAGAGAGTCTTGATAGTGTATACTTTTAGGCGAAATATATAAAAGTAGTTTGGAGTATCTATGTTTTACAATAAATTTGTAGAACGGGAACTAAATTTATAATATATATTTGTATAGTTATTTTAACATACTAAAATTTTATATTTTTACTTGAGTTTATGGTTGTCCCATTTGTTTTCAGTAATACTGTACATTTATTTGTTGTTGATTTATTTGTATTTCCATTGGTGTGCCAAATTGTTAGCTAATTTTTTAGCATAATTTTTATTGTTCATATTTTTATTGCGGTCCATTTGTTGACTACTCCATAAATAAAAACTTTTCCCTGCCAACATTTTCTAGACCATTTTGCGGTCAACTGACATTTTCTCACAGATTAGAATTCTAATGAAGATATGTGTGGCAAAGAGTTACTTTGCTACGTTTTAATGACATTTTAAGTGTGTAAATGTGACAGTTTTATTTGCGTTACAAGTGCTATTGTTATTGTTTTTGTTGGCATTTGTCTCAGATGTTTATTAATGGCCGCTTGGATGCGACTAATAAATGCTGAAAATGGAGAAAATTGGCCGGCTGAGCGACATGAAATGGTGCATGCTAAGAATTTATGCATATTATTGCTGTTATTGTTGGTTTTGCCTTTTTTGAAGCACGCAAACAGAGCGTAGAAAAAACTGTAGATGAGAAAAATGCATTGGAGTGTAGAAGTGATAAAAGAGTTGCATATCTTTTTCTTTCTGCCTCGGCATTGACTTGGCATGAAGAGGGTAATAATTATTGCAAGCGTGTGAAAATTGCTGAGAATTTTGCTTAAACAAAAACAATCGGTGCGGTGCATAAAATTACAGTTAGGTTTTATAGGCATTAACGTCAGGAGGGTAAGAACGAAAATTCACTTAAATAAGCTGTAATTAATTGGAAAAGCGACTCAAAGGGTTAAGTGTGTGATGAATTACTGAAAACGCAGTCAACTTAAAACAAATAAATCATACATATATTTACCGAAGAGTAGCAACAGCATTCTGAAATGAGAATTCGTCACATAAGTGATTAAAAAATTTTCTTTTTTTTTGTAATGAGCAAAAGTGTCGTATGTGGCTAACGTAGTCATGGCAGCACTGGCTGTCAAGCATACCGTACTATACCACTTATAAAGAAACGCTTTAATTGCGTGAAATTCGCACATGGTTGCGGCTGCTTTACGGCTTTGGTTTGTAGGTTAAGGTTATGACAAAGTACTGAAAAAGTTAGTGTTGTTATTAAAACGCGATAATTCAAACGTTTAAGCAATGTTATAGTCTTTACGATATTAAGGTAATTTAAATAGTAGGCGGATGTTTATTTTCTAGAATTCTTCTACTAAAGATAACATAAGCTTATAAATTTACAATATAATAAAAAAAAAAAAATTTAAGAAAAAAGCCAACAAAATTATACGAACAGATTATAGTAAAATTGTTTACTACGAAATTGAAGGTTTTAAACATTTAAACATTTTTTTACATGGTATATCTATAGTATTTTTGTAGATAAACTTTTTCAGCACTATATTTTTAAAAAAGGTGTGTAACTCTGCTGTAAATTGTTCAAAGCATTAATTTTTAATTAACGCCTAATTGTAGGCTACAATATATTTTTCAATACTATGTGTACAAAAAATATTAGCTTAAAATGTATTAGTAACATATATGCCCTCCAAGAAACTGTTGATGGCTTCACCATTACGCTTACATTTATTATGTCAGTACTGACAGTCAAATGAACAGTAAAATGACTGTCAATGTTTACGATTTTTCCAAAAGCAAATTCTGTATACGTCGAAAGGAGACCGCATGCATTTCCATAAAAGTTTCGAGAAGTTGTGAAATACTTATGTAGCTGTTATTTCGTGCGAAAAATCAAAAGCGTTGCGTGCTTCGGTGTAATAACAATTTTTTTTTATTAAAAATAAATAAATAACGAGCAAGCATGGAATTAAGTGAAAATTTATTTTCATAATTTTTTATTTAATTATATTCTTGTTACACTCTTTTTTTTATATTTATGTATATAATTATAACTAGGTTTAATTAAAAGTTTTGAATTTATTAAAGAAGTAAAAATTATATTATCTACTGCGCAGAAGCATTTTTCACTTGTGATAGATTTTCAGTCATAACTGACAATTTTCAGCTATGAAGTATTTATGGTCAGCAATGACCCAGAAAAAGACATAAGAGTGAGCAGTAGTGAATCAATTCCGAATACCCATGCGTTAAAGAGGGATGAAAACTCACACACATACGTTCGTTTACATCAGCACCATGCGCGCTGACATAACTTTTTCAGCTGTGATTGTCATATGACCAGTCAGATGACTGTCACTGATCTTGTAGGGTGACATATATTATCTGCGATGCCACTTATATAATGCTTCTACTATTGCTTTCGAGTCATCACTAGGGTTGAGCTTCAAATGTTTATTAAACAATTTACTTTAGAAAGCAAAACAAATGTTACCCATTCTATAGATAGCTCATATAAATATAGATAACACAACTAGCTATTCTGTCGCTATTTCATTATATCAATCTGTGCGATTTATACCAGTTGTTTGTTCGATTCGCTACTGTACTTGTTTCGGCTAAAAAAAGCTTAATAATATACCTACATACCTATTCCTAACTAAACAACATTATTTATGTTATACTCACTTATATTTACTTCTAATAAATCTGTGAAAAAATTAATTTTTATTTACTTAACAATATTCTTTATTTTTCTTTGCAGAAAAACTGTTGTTTTCAAGAATTAAATTTTGAGGTTGCTTGTAAAGGTAGGTACATGCTACAATATATTCGGAAAATGAAAAACAATTTTTAGTGATTTATTTCTAATTGATCTAGTTGTATTTTTGATATTCTGGTCTGCTTGTAGTCAGATAAAAACAGAGCTCGAAAGGAAATTTTCGTGTATTTAAAACGATTTTTTGTTGTTATCAGCTTTTATAAAGTATATACATTATAATTCATAATAAATTGATTAAAAATATTAACTTACTCGTTTATGCAGTCATAGAAAGAATTATGTTTTCATTACTGAAAAATCATGCTTATGGTATATAGAACAAGAGAGCCATATTTTCAATTCTGTAAAACAATTAAATAATATATGGTTTTTTTTCATGCATTTTCTAAGATTAAGAGTAATAAAAATTTTATTTATTTTTGGATAATAAATATATCCCATATTAGCAATTAAATCATTAATAACTATTTCCACTGCAGGTTCGGTTGCTTGAAGACAATTATTATTTTCTAACAAGTTAGTGAAGGGGTTAAATTATGTGAGCTGAGTATCGATACTGTGATCTTTACTTTGCCACTTATCTGTCGATAGAGACTTTTACTTTTTTAACTGAGACGAATAACGATAGACCTGGTTTATAGCTTCTTCAATTATCTCTATTTGAAACACCTAGCTTTGGTTTTCTCTTCTATTATTATATATATGGTATATTTACCCATTCCTTTTTAGAATAAATTTAAGAGGTATTGTAGGGAACATCTGATCAAATTTGAGGATAGACATAAAAACTACTTTTTTACGTATTTTTATATAAATCTTTATTATCGACTTCGAAATAGGCCCATGAGCCAAAACAAGCATTTCAACGTTTCATAAAATTTTTCATATGCATGTTATAAGCCTCGGCTGGGATGCTTTTGACTAAATTTTGCAGCACTAATCGCTTGAATGTTCGACAGCTTCGACGTTATATTCATAAAGCCACGTTTTGTCAACCGCAGTGATGCGTTTGGTGTATATACTTGTAGGGTTATCAACTACGTAGTAAAGGCATCTCTTTTTGACCTCTACTCGACTTTCGTCGTTTTTGCAAAAGATTTAGGTTTTTTAGTACGAGACTACCATTGACACGCTTCATTGTCAAAACCTTAACCAATATGTGTTCACTCAATTCATAAGAGATTTTGAGACCCCTTACTATCTCTCTGAAGTTACCATGACCATTTTTAAGCATTGTTTCTTTAACTTCTTGGATGTTGTTATCATTAACGCAAGTTCAAATTGACCAGTTAGAGTCAGTTTTGATCAGATGGTATAAGTAAATATAAGCATGCCAAAACTCTTCCACTCTTTTTTAAATAAAATTAAAGCGATGAAGGGGCTGCTGGGGGCCTGCACTTTAAACCACTGGCCAGAAAGGCTAGCAGATAATAATATTATACTACTTGACATTTAAATTATCAAGAAAACTTTAGCTTTTCTATTTTTTCAACTAAAGCTCTGACAGCGCTCTGATTAATGCACTTCCTTGAAAACTACATACATTCTTCTATCTAGCGAGTTACTTGCTTTATAAAATAAAAGTCAATAGGTCAGGTTAAAACAACTTCGAAAATATGGCAAAACAACTAGAACAAATCGCTTGAATGGAACATTTGTGCGTTGAAGAGGCAATTGTGGTATGTCACTTCTTTATTATTCACATGCACCAAACCAATAGAACAATAACAACACTTGAAAGGAAAAAAGCAACAAAAAGAAAGACACAAATGCAAAGAATGCGTGCAACAATCATAAAACAACAAAAACAACAATAACAAAGAGGTCTTAGTATGGAAAAAAGAATGAGCAACAAAACTATTATATGGCTTGTCAAGCGATAAAAGCGTGCAATTGTGCTACAGTTGACACCATTTGCGTGCATGCGGTGGCGTATGAGTAACCGCCGAATGGCCCACTTTTACAGCAGTCAACCAAGCAACAACAAACAATGCCTACTAATGAAGTGTCTTGACTATGTGCGAACTATGCGACTTCCTAAGCCCAAAGTGTGCATGTGTGTGTAAGTGGCTTTTCACACTACTAGTATTTCCATGCTTCACACATATGCGCATATACATATACAATATATAAACTTGGGTTACTGCCACCAAAGTGTTTGCCAACTTTTAATTGTCAACGTTGAGGCATAATTGTTTGTTGTGATGATAGCTAATGCTTGTCAACGCTGCGGCACATATCTCCATACATATTTATACATAGATATATACATACAAACACTCTCTTGCTGGCTCTCTGAGTAGCGAATATAGCGGTATTCCTAACACCACACCAACGTAACGGTATATCTGGTGTGGAATTATAAACAACAAAAAGCAAAACAACAAAAAAGTTATAAAATCGCAGCGTAAAATTGTGGGCGCACAGCTGTGAGAGTGACACCGCGAGAATTCCGTAATAATCGCAACTGTTGGCGTGACAGTTGGAAAAAAAGTAGCAAAAGAACAACAACAAATAAAATAATACAAACTAAATGATTGCGGCATATTTGAGCGCTGGCAAGTTAGTGCATGGCTGTGACAAACTGTATTGCTTGTTTTTGTCTACGCTCGCCACATAGGAAAGCCAGTTTCATTAAAACGCCTGTGTTGTTGCGCTTGCGCAGTCACATTGCTAAAACTTCCGCATTTAGCTAACAAAACAAAAACAAAATGCTACTGGAAAAAATTATATATATATTGTAGAGGTGAAGGTTTCCTTTGCAGCACTTTGTTGCCGGGTGCTAATTATTTGGGAACAGCAGCTTGGAATTCTTATGTAATACTTTAACTACAATATTAATGAAAGATACTAAAAATAAAGAACAATATGTTAACTTTTGTTGTTTCGAAGCTATAATACCCTCCACAGGTTCATTTTTTATAGCACAAGAGGGTATAAAAAAAACTATAACTTGATATTGAGCAGACATTTTTTTTGAGATTGTTGTGTTGCCTTTGGTAATAATCTGTGTCGAATTTCGTGCAGATATCTTGTTAAATTAGAAAGATTTCCATACAAGAACTTGAATTTGATCGGTAAGTTTGTATGGCAGCTATGTGCTATAGCAGTCCGATCTGAACGATTTATTCCAAGAATAAGCGTTGCTTTGGAAAATAATCCGTAACAAATTTTGTGAAGATATATTGCCAAATAAGGATGTTTTGCATGCAAGAACTTGATTTTTCCATACAAGAACTTAAGTTTGTAAGGCAGTTATATCCTAAAGTGTTCTGATATCGTCGATTCCGACAACTCAGCAGCTTGTTGGTAACTAAAGGACTTGTGGCGGTCGATATATCAAAAACTGGGGGGCTAGTTCGCGTATATACAGACGGACAGACAGACATGTCTAAATAAACTCAGCTCGTCACGCTGAGCATTTATGGTATATATTGGTATATACTTTATATAGCGCCAACGTTTCCTTCTGAGTATTAAAAACTTTGTGGAAAACCTAATAGCCGATGTTCAGTGTATAAAAGTTCAAAAACTTTAGGTTACTCAATATATATCTATAATTAATATAAGAAGAGAAAAAGTTGCGGATCTTGATAGCCAATCAAGGTTCATATGTAAAGGCAAAGGTATACCTATGTAGCGCTAAAAAAAAAAAAAAATTTTGCAAAAAAAATGTATGAGAGCCAGACAGACTACTAGAGAGTGAAAGAGCGAAAGAGGCAGCTAATGAACTGGCAAAGAGTGGAATAAAACCCAAGTAATGTTGTTATTGTTATTTTCGTTGCATAGAACAACAAACAAATTATATTAGGGACCGTTTTTGAGGTTAAACCCTTTATCAGTACACAAGCGAAGATATATTTTGTAGTAAACTGAGTTTTCATTTAGAGAATTGGAAAATAATACTTCACAATTTAACATCTCCTTCCAATAAATCCATATTCGTACTTATAATTGGCCTACATATATATACATATAATTTGTTTTTGAGTTAGCATGATTGTCACAAATATTTTGTATTTTTTTAGTCTACTTACGTGTTCACTGTTATATAATTTAGTTCAACATGCGCTCGTCATTTCATAAATGTGTTATGTCAAATTATATATTTTTTTTTGCTAAGAAAATCCCTACCCACAAAACGGCATTTTGTAACGGTTTAATTGAATCAGTACTTCGTGCATGCAAGTAGTCATCACACCAGGCCACTGGTACATAAACTCAAGCGAACACCAGCTGTCAAAAAAAAAAATGTGTGCTATCGTAGATTTTCGCATGCTCATCGTCAAAACTGACAGTTGTCAGCTTAGTTTCTTTCATCGCTTCTTCAGCTTGTTACCACAATGTATTCGGCTTTTCGGTTTGTAATGCATTATATTAGCTGTTTATAACGTTTCCGCAATAACTTGGTGACTATCATTATAGCGCGTCACCGATTGCATTCGTATTTCCCGTTTAATCGCTTGACGTACCGCAATTTTACTGTTATTTCAGTAACGCCTCTGTCATCAGTGAATGTAGTTGGTAGTTTTTTATTAATTCTTCTTTGAGTTGTAATGAAAAATGTTGGCAAGTTGAGAATTGAATTGAATTAGCGAAACTAAAAATGAGAGGTACATATATATGTATGTACATATGTATGTATATAAGAGTATAATGGTGTGAAGTATAGAAGCTTCATAATAAAATTTCATGATTTAACAACTTTAACGAGCCATTTAATTGGCTAATTTAGCTACGTAGAACGGAAAAGAACGATTTGTCAGAGCTCTGAGCTGTTGTGATTTGTTTGGGGTGCTTGAGGTAGAAGAGAAAAAAGTAGCTAAAACTTTTAATTAAAATCTCTTAAGAGTGATTAAATTCACAAGAACCGAAGAGTCTAGCTTAAGTTAAAATAATTACATTCGTTGGATTTCGTACATGTAGACAACTACTTTCTTTTTCCTCCACATTTTCTAAGATCTTCTCATCTATTGCCAACCATTACTACCCTCTGTCGTAAAATGAAAAAGCCCCAAAATTTAAATA